GAAAAATGAATACGTTGAGCATTTAAAATTTACTTTTTTTGTGCAATGCAGAATACCTACAACTTACTTTTGTAAGAAAGCCTGGTCTTTAAACATTTGGAAGACGTACTGTAACTATAAACATTAAAGGGGGATTTATCGTCCACTTGTTCTTTTAAACCGTCGCGATATATTGATCAAGGTGGAAAAAATTACGCACGGCTATGCAAGAGATTCACGTGTTACAAGAAGATTCAACTGCTGCAAGAGACTCAATGTGGATCTTCTCTCTCGTTTGCTGTGTGTCTATTGTGTTTGGTGTCTTTACTTCTTACCGTCGCAATATCCGTGACTCAACGATAAGACAGTGGCCATCTTTGGCAAAATAAAATGACTCTGCAATATTTTCAGCAAAACACGATGACTTTGCTGCTTTTCTTCAAATAATTATATCATAAAACATTTCAAACAGCGGCTGATTGTTTATTTGCTAATCTGCCTGTGCATACTTCATGTGGTAGTTTGTTGACTTTTTTAATCCCCAGAAAAAAGATGTTATACATTATCTGTGAGTCAGCTAAAATTTTCTTAAAATAAAAATTTCATTCCAGCTTGGGTTAAAAATTCCAAACGGCCTGTCTTTCTTCCAGGCAATAACCGATCGAATAATTCCTATCATCACATAATCCAGGCTGTGCTAATATTTTTTTATTAACACTGCAAAAAAAAAAAAAAAAACAGTAATATGTTTAGTTTAGGAGACTCATTTCATTTTCGGGATGTCAAATGTGGTAAACTACTTGGAGCAGCAGAAGAATGGGGGGCATCTCCAGACGACAGTTTAAAATTGAGTCAAATTACTTTCGATCAACAGCAAACTGTGAGCACACCATCTTTATATACCAACCATTCTGGTGGGGCCAATGGGAGTGACATGTATTGGCAGAAAATGAGTGACAGGTATCATGTCAAGACAGTTGTGTATTCATTCTCAGGCCACGCTACAAGCAATCCTTATAGAAAAGTTCTGAATAAAAAGGAACTGAAAGATTCTAATGTGCATTTGTTCAAAGCCAACATGTCACTGCACAGAAGATTTCCCACGGACAGGTATTTTGTCGACAGTTAACATCAACGTAACTAGTAGCAGGTGAAAAATTCCGATGCTGCTTTTGCTGTGGGAAAAGTGGTCAGGAACACAATGGTAAACGGGGGGACAGGATGGACTGTGCAACTGGCAGTGGACAGTAATAAACAATTCTATGTTTTTAATTCTTTTAAAAATGAGAGGACTGGAGTGGAGGGAGGCTCATGTCAATGGTACAAGTATGATTATGTGAGAAGAATGTTTAAATTATATTCAGGCGTGCCAGGACTCACATATGATTTCGCCGGGGTTGGAACTCGTGCTTTGACAGATAAAGGAAAAATTGCCATAGAGAAAGTATTTGAAAGAACGTTTAAACGTATATGAAGATTTTCTGTGTGAATTGTCAATAATATCAAGGCATGTCCCCGTTTTACTCGAATAATGCAAAAAAGCTGGTCAGCATAAAAATTCAACCAGTGCCATTCAAAGTGTCACCATTGTGGTGTATACAAGCGTGCGACGATGGCATCATCTTCCACTTTAGTTGCTATGCGAAGTATAAACCACAGTGCATTTTTGTTCTTCGTGTCAGTCTTCTCTTCAAAGGTATCCGCATTCTTTATTCATATAGATTCATATAAATATTAATTACCAACATTACAAATATTATATTTTTTGTTACGATTTCTGCATCTGCTTGCTGCATACGATTTTATTTTCTATTCTACTGCAATTAAATTAAACTTATCGGTCATAGTAAAAGGATTTATGTGAGATTTACAATTCAAAATTTCCTTTTTTTTTTTTTTTTTTTTTTTTTTTTTTTTTTTTTTTTTTTAAAATTTTTTTTTTTAAAAAAAAAAAAAGGGAAAAAACCAA